GTTAAACTTGTTTTGTTGTCGAGTCTTGGACTTGACATGCTGTGCTAAGCGTGCCTGATCTGTACAGTCCATTACTTGCTGAAGTGTGGTCTGATCTAGGCACGTTATTAGTTTTTGTTTAATGTGCTCTTCTTTGGCCTTCAAGGCCTCAATAGTAAAATTGGTCCGTCTCACTCGTTAATTCAGCAGCTCCACTCTGAGAAGGTGCTATTTATAAGACTGAGCCGAATAAAGCACATCAGATTGAAGAAGTCTTTCGGATGAAAGACGAAACGTTTCTACATTTTTTGTTGTTGTTTTGCTTTGTGTTGTTTTTTGAATGTCCAGAGAACCAGATTTAACTTTTTTAGATTTTTCTACCTGGATTATTGAGCATGCATCAGGATATGACTACAGATAAACTATATTGTAACTGAAACTAACCTAAATTTGAGCAAAGTCTCTTGATTAAACCAAAATCAAAATATCGGTCTCTTACCGTCTGTAGCAGTGTCCCAGTAGCAAGAGTTGGCTGTGTGGAGACCTGCACCACTTTTCTGCATGACAGCACAGTTCACTGCAACAAAACAGTTTTACACATTTAAACCTTACCTTCAAATACAAAGCAAACTACATCCAGGTGTATTAGATGAATAAATTTGTTAACATGACAAGTGATGGTTCACCTATGTATTTAAATGGCCGTCCTTGTTTGATCAGGTGGTTCAGTAAATGCTCCACTATGCTTGCTGTCCACTGGTTGACTTTATTCTGATTATAATCTGTTCCACCAATGACCCCTTCGATACACTGACGAAGTAAAAACAGAGCTCACAGATTACAGAACAGTGTTTGTATTCATTAAGTTTCCAAGAATAAAAACTTACCTCTTTTATTAAGTTACTTGTCTCATCAGTATTAAAAATGACCTGCAGGATCATCAAAAATATAACACATTAAACATTAGATTTACAATGTGCAAAACACGCTCTCTTATATTCAATAATTTTTAAATCACACTTGTCAATTCTTATATAAACATACATATACATATATATACCGTGAGGAAAATAAGTATTTGAACACCCTGCAACTTTGCAAGTTCTCCCACTTAGAAATCATGGAGGGGTCTGAAATTTTCATCTTAGGTGCATGTCCACTGTGAGAGACATAATCTAAAAAAAAAAAAAATCTGGAAATAACAATGTAAGTTTTTTTAATAATTTATTTGTGCGTTACTGCTGCAAATAAGTATTTGAACACCTGTGAAAATCAATGTAAATATTTGGTAAAGTAGCCTTTGTTTGCAGTTACAGAGATCAAAAGTTTCCTGTAGTTTTTCATCAGTTTTACTGCAGCAGGATTTTGGCCCATTCCTCCACACAGATCTTCTCTAGATCAGCAGGTTTCTGGGCTGTCACTGAGAAACACAGAGTTTGAGCTTCCTCCAAAGATTTTCTATAGGGTTTAGGTCTGGAGACTGGCTAGGCCACTCCAGAACCTTGATATGCTTCTTACGAAGCCACTCCTTGGTTCTCCTGGCTGTGTGCTTCGGGTCATTGTCTTGTTGGAAGACCCAGCCACGACCCATCTTCAATGCTCTCACTGAGGGAAGGAGGTTGTTCCCCCAAATCTCTCACTACATGGGCCCGGTCATCCTCTCCTTAATACCGTGCAGTCGTCCTGTCCCATGTGCAGAAAAACACCCCCAAACATGATGCTTCCACCCCCATGCTTCACAGTAGGGATGGTGTATTTGGAATGGTACTCATCATTCTTCGTCCTCCAAACATGGCGAGTGGAATTAAGACCAAAAAGTTCTATTATAGTGCTAAAAATATCAACAGCTGCCTTACATTTAACTATTTATTAAATTAGCTCAATTCATGCAATATGTTATAAAGAAGACATGCTTTGTTATTAAAAATATGTCATTTTGAGACACAAAGCCGACTGACTTTTTCAATATTATAATTATAATATATCAGTTTAGGTAACTGCCACAACAAGTGACAAAAGTAAAAGTTCATGTCCCGGATGTTAAAACAATCAAAATTATGACTGATGACTGAACCACACCCTCTGGTTTATCCTAAGCTAGCTAGCTGAGCTAAAAGCTAACGGTGAGCTAACAGGACAAGCTAACAGCTAACTAGCGGAACCAATGCAGATTTTAACTGTTGACACCGGTTCTTCCCTATACTCGAACATAATAAAAAAGACTTTACATCATCCCCAGTGTTGTACTCTTCCATGATGACAACCACCGGTAAAACCGACTGCGCTCTTTGTATAACCGCCGGTGTCTGCTGTTATTATTCCTGTTTAAAGTTCAGAGTCAAGGAGAGAAAAGACGTCCCCACTCAGCCTCAAACAGCTTCCGATGTCCTGCACTGCCACCTAGTGGTAAACATACGAAACTACAAGAAGCCACGCAAAGAAAGCCTCAAGAACTCATATTTATGACCATAAATTGTTTTGGGGATTTTTTTTAAATATAATTTCGTTAGCTTTTGTTATAAACAAACTGAAATTAAAATCAGTCAGCCTGAACTGTCTTCTACAGGTTGCTGTTGAATCTTTACGGATCAGCATCCTGCATCATAAATATTTGCACATGAATTTTGATTATATACCAGAAATTAACATCAACCACCCTCCCAAAACATTTGCATAAAATAACCATATTTGCATTGTGTTCCGTGATGCATGATGACATCATCAACTCAGAGCAATGATGTTTTGAAACTCAAAAGATTTGAAAAAAAATAACGACCATATTTGCAGTTCCTGTGTT